AACACAACTTGAAAACATCCGGCATGCGTGTTTAATTTCAGTACAATGGATTCAAGGCCAAATATACATGTTACATGCATCAAGGCTAGATTACAAATTATCATAGTCATCATCACCATCGTCATCATCATCATCATCATCTTCACACTTTCTTTTCAATGCATTTGATGATTCATTGGCAGGATTTTGTGATGACACCATATTAGTAGTAATAAGAATGTTTTTGGACCCAATTAATGATGGATTAATCAGAACATTCTGAACTGCTGATGTTGCAGGAATCGATGCTTTTACAGCTGGGGACTGTGCAGCAGGCATCTGTACTGCAAACCTTTGCCCTGTGAGGGACATCGGAGTCCCCACTTTAGTTGAAACAGACATGGTTTGTGGGGTTGGTGTGCCTAGGGTGGGAGTACTTGGTCTGCTAGTAACTGAACCAACCCTTAACGGAGGCACTGTTATTCTTCCTGCAGAAGTAGATGCCTTTTTCTGTAAAGACTTAAGCCTATAGTTTGGAGCTGTTTGTACCTATCAGGTGGCAATCTAGGGCCTGAATACGGCTTCATCAATGGCAAAGGGGTTTGATTTCTTTGCCTTGCAATATCTAATAAAAAATCTCTTGGGGGAGGAGAAGTAAAAGACTGGTCAGAGCGACACCGGATTGCCAATCGCACAGCACCTGCATCAACAGTAGCTTTCTTAGCATGGCTTGAATAAATTTTTGCTTCATCTAGAACTGTGGTCACATATCCGAAGGCAAACTCCAACATCTGATTAATAACTCTTGGCTCATAGTCTGTAATCCCCATATCCTTCAGGATTTGTGCCATCCTCTGTGCATCTTTCGGCATGCTCTTGGGAGAAGCCATCTTGCCAGACTCCATGATATCCGGTGGTCAGACTTCTTTAGCTAAATCACCCACATTAATGTATTTCAGTCCTGATCTTGAGGCAAGTTCTTTGCCTAGTGTGGTTTTTCCAACCCCAGGTGTACCCGTGAGCAGGATGTTCAGAAGCAACATGGTCCTCGCCGCGATGGCTCCAAGCGCCGCGGCTCCTGTGTCCTATGCACTACAGGGAGGAGCCGGAAGGGGCCCAGGTTTGGCTCTTTAAGCCCAGTGCCCTTTGGGCCCCATACGCCACCTACAGTAGGGTTCATTTCCCTTATTAAATATCTGTCACAAAATGGCACACAGGATCAGAAGTAAGAAGCTTCCAATGAGACATTCTCACGCCCAGCAGGCGAGCTGAGCAGAGTCCCCGCCACCTTTGGTTTCTCGCTGCTGTTTCTTCACAACCACCGCGTCACTGAGACTCGGCACAGGTGAGATTCTTGGTCATTGTGAATGTTTGTTTGAGTTTACCCGGAAACTTGAGTGCTATTTCCCCAGGTCCCTTCAACACTAGAAGCCAAGCACTCATGGTCCTTCCCCGGGAGGCACGGACCTGTCTTTTCTCGTCCACAACCAGGGCTTCAGGAAACCTCTTGTGACTGTTGACGTTATTTCAAAGGCCGTAATTTTAAAGACTAACCATAAACAGATACCTTTTGTACCGCCTCTCAAAACCAGTGTGTTTCATGGGGATGAACAGTCAGTCAGAACGGAGCAGGGAGTACAAATTTGAGAAAGGAATCAGCTACTGGGAAGAAAATGCTGCACTTGGGGACAGCTCAGAATAAATGGAAGACACAATGTTTGGTGCCTCTTGCTCAGAATTCACAGAAGCCTCATGCTCCAGCCAGAAAAGTAGGTATCCATTGAATCCACCTGATTTTGGACCAAATCAAAATGATGAAATCTGACAAACTAAGTGTTCCAGGGTGTACCAGACTCAGAATTGTTTTGGCAATATAGGAGTCCCTTCAAAAGGCATAGTTTAATGACCAGAGACTGTTTTCTCCCTCTAAATGCATCCTCCAGGTTTTAAAACTGCCAGTAAATCTCAAATATGATTGCTGTAGTAATCTGAGAAATAGCAGCTATAACACACCCCCTGCCCCAGTGACTAAGCCCGAAAAATAAAAAATAAGAATGAAAAACTCAAGATGGCAGGAAAACATCTTCCCAGTGTGCACCGCCACGGGGTGGGGGTGTGTGGCGTGTGCCCCAAGCGCAGCAGAGCGCTCCGAGCCCAAGTTCGGGGACGCCCTGCCGTGACGCCGCCGGCCCTCACGGGGTCAAGGCATCAGAACTGCTGATTTTCCCAAAAATCTTCTCAAAGCAGCAGCAACCACAGCAGTTTTCCTGCAAAGCAAACAGAACATGAATCTTGTTAATTCAGCAGGGCTTTTAAAATTATAATTAGTTGGTTGTGCCCCTTAGGAAAACCACTGATGATTTTTTTATAATGCATGTGAGAGAAGAAAAAAGAAACTTCTTGACAGGCTCCACTGCTTGCCATAGCTGGGTTTTTTTTAGTTTATGCAAGATATTTTCGTGCTGTTTGCAATATCGGAGGACAAGGCTTCTTTGTTTCCTGTGACGCACGGCCGCTCCGTCCATCTGGTCAGCTCGATCCCAGCACCGCAGTGGGACGGGGGCCCCGTGCGGGGTGATTTCCATTTGCATTGTAGCCACGTCTGCCCCGGCCGCACGCTGCTGCTCTGCGTCATTACTGGGGACCTGAGGAGGTGCCCTAAACCTACACCTCGCGGGCTGGCCGAAGATACAACGGAGGTAACAGGAAACAAAATGCCACCAGGCCAATCTTGGGAGTGTTTCCTTGATGCATCGAAAAACCTCTAACAAATTGCAGGAGATTTCTATGCCTCAATTTACATTGTGGATTATGCTTGATTCATAGGGCCTGGCACTCCCTCTTTTTCCACAGGAATCATCTTCGACCACTAGATTTTTAAAATCAATATTATCTCAAGTTTGGTTTCCCTTATAATATATCTTGCCATAAACCCCATCTCATCTTGGCAGGGAATATTATTGTGCAGAATAATCTTTTTTTTTTTTA